CTGGATAGAAAGAGATCCCATGAGTGCCGCTGCTTGGTCTGGATTCGGCTTTGCATCGTTTTTCTCCACCTGAGGCTCATCTTCTTCGTCATCTCTTCTCTTTAGTGGATCATTCTCTGGGTCGGGTTTATCGCCGTCCTGCGCCTCCAGTCGGTTGACTAGTGCTGCAATTTGCAAGTCTTTTTCTTCCACAGTTCGGGTTAGCCTTGCGATCGCTTCATTCATTTGAGCCAGTTGTTCTTCAACGGAGGTAACGCCGATAGTCATGACTTGTGCGACCAATAGACGTGACTTTCCTTTAGACATCCAGGATGCTGATGAAGAATGTCGTTGGCTGCTTTGGGATGTCATCATATGCCTCAGCATCATGCTTCGGTGCCTCCAGCGAGGTCAGGTTGATGACAGACTCACACCTTGGATGCTCCCCTTGCTCTTTTAGCGGCACCAATTTTGAAGTGGCATGTTGAGGGAGCGGTCGTGGCGTCAATGGATTGTCCGTTTGCGGCAGAAGTGCTTAGGATCCTTCCCTCAGTGGTTGCAAGAACGGCTTGTCCCTTGCTTGATGCCATTGACTTTGAGGTGTGCTTGGAACGGAGAAAGAGATGAGAGGTAGAGATTATCCCACCGGGCGTGCCAATTTGTGAACACGGAAAATTCCTGAAACGAAAGAGACAAGAACGAACGCGCACAAACAAATATTAAGTGTTTGATGATTTTGGGTTACAATCTCTCTCTATTTTGATCCTCTGATTCGATCTCCGCAAAGTGTTGATTTGTGGGATGTGCGATTAATCCAAGGGCCGTCGAGGCTTGATCTTGGATGAACGAGGATGAACGGATCTTCGAGGGCTTTTGAGCTTGATCTTGAAGAATGGTGATTGACGGATCTTCAAGGGCTTTTGGGCTTGATCTTGAAGAACAGTGATGAACGGATTTCCGAGGGCTTTTGGGCTTGAACTCGAAGAACAGTGACGAATGGATCTTCGAGAGCTTTTGGGCTTGAACGGATCTTCGAGGGCTTTTGGGCTTGATCTCGAAGAACAGTGATGAACGATGAACGCTTTCTTCAAGGGTCGTTGGGGCTTGGGCTTGATGAACAGCGGATGAGCGGATTTGTTGATGTTGTCGATCCAAAGGGGCCGTTGGGGCTTGATCCTTGAGGATGAACAGTTGATGAACGATGAACGCTTTCTTCAAGGGGCCGTTAAGGCTTGGGCTTGAAGGTGGATGATTGTTGATCCAAGGGCCGTCGGGCTTGATCTTGGAAGAACGATGAACGAAGAACGCTTTCTTGATTCTTCGGGAACCTGGAGGCTTGAGAGCTTCGGAGTTTCAGAGCTTCAGAGCTTCAAGAGTTTTTGCCTAATGATTTTCGGTTCCCCAAATGAATGAAATGGGCTTGTATTTATAGAATTTTCCAAGGCCTAATTTTGAATATAATATCCCAGATGAAATAAGTCGTTTCTGCCAGGTGTTGACACGTGTCTTATTTGATGACTCTTCCAACTCATTTCAATTTTCGTTGAGTCACATGCTACGTGTAAAATTTATGCAATACATGAGCGTTGACACTTTGATTTATCGGTCAACATTTATTTACCGAAATTTCGATGTCTACAGTGGCGCAATCACAACCGTTTAAATAGGAGGGGATAGAAAGGGAGAGAGATTAGGAGGGGAGAGAATTTTACTCCATTCTCCACTTTTGTTTCCTGCAATTTGTTGCAGTATGTGCAAGTGTAGAATTTGCTACTGCGTGTGGGTATATGGGACATATTCCTTGTTCCATATTCCTTAACCAAAGGAGTTCACATATTCCTTATCAGAATTGTCAAAAGTTTACGTAACTAAAGCAGTTCACATATTCCTTATGCTATACCTCTATACTCAACTTCAGCAGAAGACCTTGACACCACTTAATTCCCAGAGTAGTACTAATAGGGGAAGGCCGCCACGCATCAGAGTGTACTAGCGCAAACAGAAAAGACCTACTCATACTTAAAAAGAATGAAGCACGATGACATTTGGCTAAAGTACATACTTCACACTTTAGTTCAGAGTCTTTAATCTCACTGAATAAACTAAGTAACATGTACTTCAAATAATCAAACAATGCATGTTCCAAACGACGATGCAATAACCATAACTGTTGTATATTACTATTACGCAAGACAAGAACCACTAGCTATTTCAAGAACCACGTCATCCACACCTATGAATGAGGAAACTTACAAGTTTATTAAGGGTGGAAGCTTCACATACGTATGCAAGGGTGAAGCTTTGCACACCTTTGCCTACTACTAAACTTTCTTCGATACGGTGGATCCATAGAAATATCCAAAAAATCAAAGACAAATATGGAAATGGGTGGTGAAGTCTAAACTTCACCTTATATCAGAGAAACTCTTAAGTTTAGGCTAAAATCGACAAATATCGTCTATATTTCTAACACATATGTTAACTATCGTAGAAACTATTATTTTTCGTCCATACCAATGTTTGACAATCCCTAAAGTTTCATTTTGAATTTCCATCATTTTTATCGAAAGAAACCGACATCGATATCGATATTCGATATATCCGTTGATATTTCCATAAATTTGCATATCGATATTTCCAATGATACCGATATTTTAAACATTGATCATAATGTTATAATTGGATTAATTAGAGTCAAGTTCAAGGTAACTAATATCCTATAAAGTAAGACATAAGGTTGCACATGATAGAGTAATGGATGGACTCAACTACTTCAGCTCAGGTTTTGTGGGTGTCAACGTGATCTCTTGATAGCTGGGATACGATTAAGATAATTGCCCATATAAAGAGATGTCTTTGCTTACCAAAGAATTTATTTCATGAGGCACAAGGTCTATCACTAGTTGGAGATACAGTTCTGAGTAAGTAGAAAGCTTTCCTTGTGAACTAGTGTTTCTGAAGAGCTTTGCAGGCTCATCGTCTTCACCAACTAGCATGTCTTCTTTAAGTAATCATGTGAACCATGATCTTCTCTATCATAGCCATGTTGGGTTCATATTGATGTACATGTATGTATTGATGACAGAGCCAATGTTTATTGGAACACATGTTTCTTTCTTATACATTTCAATGCTTGTAATCTATGTATGAGCTAACCCTATTCTATTTAGTTATAACCGTTGGTATTTGAGTAAGGTTAGTCTCACTTGGGTTTCGTGTTTAAATTACCTTATCATTTTTTTGTTCTCAATGGGTTATCGAGTGTTTGCAGATTCATGAGCAGAGCAAAGGTTATCAAAAGTCATTCAATTCATAAACAATTATTTGCAGAAATCCATCAAAATGGGTTACTGATGAATATCGTTTTAGTGTTGCAACATTGTGACTCATTAATCATAACGTACATCTATTTCTTTAAAAAAGAAAGGGAATACCTTGAATGGTTCGACTAATGCGTCAATACATGGTGTTTGGTAGATCGTTTCATAGGCTCTAATTCTTGTCCAAAGGCCAAAACTAAGAAACTATTCAATATTACAAAGGATAACCATGTATTTGGAACTGCATTATTTGCAGGTTTCTGTAGTAAATGCTTCTTGCTCAAAAGTGTTGCATTAAACTGTGTTTTATATAAATTCTTGTCGTTGAAAACTTATTTGATTAAGTTATCTTCTTCAATGAATCCAACTACCATGAACTTTTCCTCCACCTCTCAACGGAGGGAACTTCAAGAAATGGAGACATGATGCGGAAATCATCCTGGGCCTCATGGACTATGATTTGGCTTTGAGAGAAGAGGAACCAGCGACAGTCATAGCTAATAGCACAGTGGACTATCTTCACAAACATGAAAGGTGGGAAAAGTCAAACAGAATGTGCCTTTTGGTGATCAAAAGGACCATAAGTGAATCCGGGAGAGGAAGCATCACAATTTGTGAAAAAACATAGGATTTCCTAGTAGCAGTCGATACAAAGTTCAAGGTCTCTAAAAAGACAGAAGCGGGAACCTGATGACAACCCTCACCATTTTGAAGTTTGATGAATGCTCCACTGTAAGGGAACATATATTGAGAATGGTTGAGGCTACAGCAAACTGAAGGATTTGGAGGTTGTGGTTGATAATACCTTTATGGTTCATATGGCCCTAAACTCACTCCTTGAGAGTTATGAATGCCTGAAAACCTTCTACAACACCCAAAATGAAACCTGGAGTCTGAATGAGTTGATTTCGATATGTGTTCAGGAGGAATGCAAAATGAAGAAAGGAAAAAATGGGGCAGTGAACCTGGTGAATATTGACAATGTCAAAAAGGGAGCATTCAACTCTAGTAAACCTTATAAATCCTCAAACTTCACTAACTATGCTGACTGTGATTCTCCATCCTCCTCTAAAGGATCTCAAGGTTATAAGGGAAACATAAAAAATGTCAAATGTTATTTTTGCGAAGGCTATGGCCATTTGAAACGGGATTGTGAAAATGTAAAAGATGGGCAATCAAGAAAGGTAAAATTTTTTAAAATGTTTTTGTTTGTGTTGATGTTAATCTTGTGGAAGTCTCTCTAAATTCTTGGTCATTTGACATTGGTTGTTCGGTGCACATTACCAATTCCTTGCAAGGATTCACTAGAAGGATCACAACAAGAAATGAAATTTATCAAGTTCACGTAGGAAATGGGAATAAAGTAGCTGTGGAAGAAATAGTCACCCTTAAGCTGAAGTTGTCGACTGGTTTTGTTTTAGAATTACTTGATGTTGTTTATGTACCTTCTTTAACAAGAAGTTTATTTTCCGCTTCTAAGCTTGTAAAGACTAGTTACACTTTTATCGATGATGATGAAAGTGAAAATATTTTCAAGAAAAATAATTTGAATCACATGCTTGGAGTCTAGGGGTGGGCAAACGGGTACAGGAACCGCGGGTCGGGCGGGTAATGGCGGTTCGGGGCGGGTACAGGCCGGTTCTTGATTTTGTAAAAACAGATCAGGGCGGGACGGGCTGGGTAATTGAAGTTTTCGATTCGGGCCGATTCCAAAAGTGTAGGAACCGCGGGTACTCGGACTGGCCCGTGTGTGTTACAATGGACGGACGAGATTTAAGATACATCTCTCCATCCAATCTCAACCGTCAGTTTCAACCTAGCCAATTCCACCTCTCGAGTTCGAGAAGCACCCTCTCAGACTTCAGTTTCTCAGATTCTCACTCTCTTCATTCTCTCAGATTCTCACTCTCCCTCGACTCCCTCGACTCCCTCTCCCTATCCCTTCCTTCCCTCGACTTCAACTCTCATACTCTTTCACTCTCACTCACACACTTACTCTCACAGTGCTCACCGCCGTCGGCACCAACTCTCAGACTCTCACAGTGCTGTCGCGACCAACACAACGGCACCACCTTTGCCGTCGTGACCACCATCATCACCCCATCACCACCACCGTTGCGACCACCTGCTGCTACTAAAATTTAGGTAATTTTGAATTAGGTTTTATTATTAATGTGAATTTCTGGTGTAGGGATTTTAGGGATTTTAGGGATCTTAGGGATTTGCCGAAGTAAGAAGAGGTTGTTGTGGAACGGGAGTCGAAGAGAGAGACAACGTCATTGCTGTGCAATCCAAACTCAGTCGGAACTTGTTCCAACACGACTCAATACGTGTTTTGGGATAGCGTCCATCAATCTCAAGCCGCTAACTAACCATTGGATAAGAGGATTATACGGATCTTTCTGTATCTCAAAAAATGTTTAAAGACTGCTACTACTTGCTTTTAAATGCTGCTATGTTCCGATTGATTTAGCTAAACAGTTTTAACAGGAGAGATTTTATACAGAACCAATTAGATTTAGCAAATCTTTTCCAGTGTTTTGCAAATTTACCAATAGGCAGCACCAAAATGCTTTGGTTAGGCGAAGCTACTTATGGGTAGTTAGTTTGGTTTTGGCAGTGTTCATCATACGGTTTTTTATTTACCATTCTTCTGTTCTTTTATGTATGAAGATGATCTGTTTATAACACAATGATTGTATTTAAGAAGTTAAATTATGTTTTCCTTTTTGTCTTAACTGATTTTGTTTTCCCTTTTTTTCCTTGTAGGCACTCCATGGACTGAAGAGGAACATACTAACTACATAGCTTGGTAAAGGTGATTGGCTGACGATATAGGTGCCAGCATTGGTCTTCTTTAAATTGAAAATAAGTGATTTAGTTTAGACTTACATTTACCATGGGTAGTGAGTTTAATTGTTCGCTCTTTATGCCCATTTGCTCTTTATGGTTAATTGTGTTCACTCTGTTCATAGTTTTTTTGCTTAGTTAACTCAGCATTTTAGTTACTATATAGTTATTTGTTGGAGATTTTGGTAGTGAGTTTTTTAAGTGATCTGATAATTCGGTTTTCGACTTTGCGCATATTTAGGTGAACTTGATCATGGGTTTTGGATTTTTTGTATAAATAAGGGAATCTGATATTGGATTAATGATATTTGTGTATATTTTTGGTGAATTTTGTATGGGGCTGTTTATGTTTATGTTTGTGTAAATGACAAAATGTTAAGGTGAATCTGATATGGAGATTTTGGTTTTTAGGGGTTTAGGAGCTGGTGAGTCTATAGAATAACCTAATTTCTTGACCCATTTCGTAAAATTTGCGATAGGGATTGGTATGTAATAACTCTAAGCGAAATGCACAATGGTTTTTTAGTAGTAGATCTGAAGTTCTTAAATTTCACAATTCACAAATAACTCTAAGTGAGACTAAAATCCAACAGTTATTTAAATAGTTGTGTTGTTCCTTCATGATGGGCAGAAAGGTTATCCTAGTAATGTGGCATATAGACAAAAATCAGAAGTTAGGGATAGAAGGGGAGGAGTGGGGGGCGCAGGGCACGCGTATTGCTTTTTCTTGTTGTTCTGTTGTTCTATGGAATGGTTTTTCTAATTGTGAACATCTAACTGGTTATTCAGTTTTAAATATAAATTCACTCCCTTTCTTTGCCTGAAACATATCATTCACCCGGTACCCTAGTTTTGTATAGTTTGCCTACACCCGCCTAGGTATTACTTATGTTTAATTGTGCAAAAAAACTATGAGTTACTTATGGTTAATTGTGTTCACTCTGTTTAATTGTTCGCTCTTTATGCCCATTTGCAGATCTGAATTTTGATTAAAACCCAATGATTTAAACCTCATTTGCTTGTAATTATTTGTGGAATATGTTTATATTTGTATATATTTGAGAGCAAATATTTGATAATGCGTTGGTTTGTTCTTCAATTTGAAGTCTTAATCTTTTGAATTAGTCAAGGTTTTGGATTATTGCATTTTACATGAGTATACATTGCATTAGAAACTTGATAATTTGCTATTTTATTTACATGGAGATTATGCTTTTTTGGGTTTAAATTATGTATAATGTGTAGATTATGCTTACATTGAGATTATGCTGTTTTATTTGATTAATGAATATAGTTCCATTATTTTCATTTTACAGATTTTTACATAATGTCTCAATCTCAAAGTCAAAGTACCCCTAGTAGTGCTAATGTAGCATCATCTACGGCTACATCACCATGTCCTCCACAACCAACACAAGCACAACCCACACAGTCAAAACCATCAATGCCTCCCCCAAACCCCTCATCCTCCAGAAAAAGAAAAGCACCACCTATTCCAAAGACAAAACAACCAACTATAATAGCTTCACTAGAGAGATCTTCTTCTGAGAGATCTTGGGTTTGGGATCATGTCACTAAGTGTACCGTCTCGGAAACACAAGAAGTAGAAAATGATGGAAAGAAAGATAAGGTGGAGGTACAAGTATTGAAGGCTAAGTGTAACCATTGTAACGCCCCTTTTGCATGTGAAACTAGTGGGGGTGGAACTAGTACTTACATTAAACATATCAATAAACATTGCAAGTTATATAAACCAACTGATGAGTTGCAAAAGGTTCTAGGCAGTTCTGGACCTTCTGGGGATGTCAAAAACATGCTTGTTGCTAAAGGGTGGAGCCAAGAAGAAAGTGTGGAAGGTATTATTGAGTTTATTGTGATCGAGGAGATACCTTTTAGTATTGTGGAGAGTGAAGGGTTTAGGCAGATGATGTGCAAAGTCCAGCCTAGATTGCATGTTCCATCTCGAAGAACTATCGTGAGGGAGTTATTCAGTATATAAGATAGCATGAAAGATCAGTTAAAAAAGGAGATACACAATCATAGAGTGAGCTTGACTACTGATACATGGACAAGTGTGCAAAATTTGAACTACAGGGTGCTAACTGCTCATTTTGTGGATGATGATTGGAATATGCACAAAAGGATTCTAAACTTTTGTTTGATTTCAAGTCATGAAGGCAAAGTAATAGGGAAGATGATTGAGCAATGTTTGGTTGAGTGGGGGATTGAAAAGGTAATGTGTATCTCAGTTGACAATGCATCGGCTAATAAGGTGGCAATTGAGTATGTTATTCGTAAAATGCAGAAATGGCCTAATAGTAAAATGATTATGAATGGCAAGTTTATGCATGTGAGGTGCTTAGCTCATATTATCAACTTGGTAGTGAAACATGGGTTGAAAAGATTAGATACAAGTGTGGATGCTCTTAGAAATGCTGTGCGGTTTGTGAGATCAAGTCCCCGAAGGTTAAGTTATTTCAAGAAATGTGTGGAGAATGAGAAGTTGGATATTAGGGGTCTAGTTGTTATGGATGTGCCTACTAAGTGGAATAACACATAAATGATGCTAGAATCTTGCTTGAAGTTTAAAAAAACATTTGAAAGGATGACCGAAGATGATGAAGCCAATATATACACCACCTATTTCAGTGAAAAGGTGTTTAATGATGAAGGAGAAGAAGTGGCAGGTAAAGGGAGGGTTGGACCACCTAAGGAGGAAGATTAGGATAGTGCAGAAGTGTTTGTGGAATTTTTGAAGGTCTTCTATCTTATAACTTTGAAAGTTAGTGCAAGTAAGCATCCCACATCTAATACAGTTGTTCATGATGTCATTGCTGTGGAAAACGAGATTGAAAAACTTTTTTTACCTGAATATATGCAAACTGGAAGACCTGTAGAGTTGGTGCTACGTGATATGGCATTCAACATGAGAGCCAAATATCGAAAGTATTTTGGTTCGATTGAGTCCCTTAATCAAATATTTGTAGTTGCCCTTGTCCTAGACCCAATGTTCAAATTGAGGCACTACATGCACTTGTGTAGAAAGCAATTACAACTTCCTGAAGAAGAGATTGAACATAAAAGTAATCAAGTGAAGACATGGTTGAAGGCGATGTGTGATGAATATGCTTATCAAGCTTTCGATTCACAAACACAACAAAAGGGTAAAGAAGATTTAGTTCTTGACACTTCTTCTTCAAGGGTAAAACAATCATCTTCTAGTGTGCCAACAGAAAATCCAATGATATTTAGTCAAATCATGGATGATTGGGTGAATGAACTAGAAGACACCAAGGATATTGCGCTTGCACATGAGGTGGATAGGTATCTCCTTGACACTGTAGAGAAAGTACAACATGGTTCACAATTTGGCGTTTTGAAATGGTGGAAGTTGAAAGGGAGGAGCACATATCCCACATTTGCTTTGATAGCGAAAGATGTTTTGCCAATTCAAGTGTCAACAATTGCTTGTGAGAGTGCATTTAGTGGAGAAAAGAGAGTAATTGACCCTTGTAGATTATGTTTCCTTTCTCAAACAGTGGAGTCATTGATGTGCCTCCAAAATTGGATAAGAAGTGAACTGATAGGATTTTTAACGTTTATGCAAATAAGGTCAAAATTACATGAAATACTTGCAAGAATATAAGGATATTGTAGTATAGATGCTCATGCAAGGTCGTTTTCCTTAAGGACTATTTGGATAATTTGTGTAGAAACAATTCCTAATTAAATACTTAGAATTAAAACTTGAGAAAAGAGAGTTTGAGAATGAGTAATATTAAAAACGAATTTTAAACAAAAACTAAAATAATCGAAGAAAAGAGTTTTAAATACCAATTTATAAAGGCACTATGGTTCCACCATCACCTAGCAATCCTATGAATTTCTACCAATTACTTACGCTTTACACATGCTACTTCGAAGGTTAGGTTTTCCTAATATATATTCTCCTCGTGATATTCAAGCAAGAACGTATATCTAACATGCAATCCGTCTGTGATATTCAGATCAAATATGAACATGCAAGACTCATTAAGTTTTATGAAAACCTTTTGAAGAACCATGCAACCCCTAAGAACGTGATATTTGCCTTAGATGGAATTATAATTATCAATCACAAGAAGCAATACTCAATTCTCCGGTGATATTCCGACCAAATTGCATCTAATTACTTGTCTAAACATCCTAATGGTGGCCAATCATCAAGATAATTAGATAGTTTAAAACAGTGATTATTAATTCAAAGTGTGCATGCAATCAATTATAAGCAATTAAATAAAAATTACATATTCATGCTAAGGCTCAAGGTTTCGCCCTAGCAAAAGGAATTAGTTACGCATATTCATAATTGAAATCATAGAAAATATTATTACGAAGAAAAGGGATGAAAACACCTTAAAGTATAAAATCTCCAAGAACCCTCGCCAAGTTCTTTGTCTATGAAGTTGAATAATAATAAGCGTAGAGAAAAATTGTAGACGGCCAAAGAAATATATTTGCTCCGCCCTCACAAACCCTAAGACATAGGTTTCTTATTCCAACTAGGAAACTAAGAAAAATAATAAAATATCTTAGAAAATAAAGCCCTAATTAAACTAGGAGAATCTGCCAAGTACTTGTCCAGCCACGTTTTAGCCTCAGATCTCCTCCAAATCCGGCCCAAGATAGCTTGTTTTAAAGATAAGGACCTTCCGAACACATCTCTAAAAGGCCACGAAACCATCCGAAGTCATCTTGGGCTCCAAAAACGCAATTTAAGCCCAGAAACGTCATTTTCCAGCACCGCGCATCGCTCCTTTATTTTATCGCCAGAAAATAACCGCTTGATGGAAAAATCCCAAATTTTGATACGACCAAGCTAAGTGACTCCCGAACGTCTTCAAACTGGAATTACTCCAAAATTCGTCCCTTTGACCACGTTTTGCTCCAGAGGAAGTCGAAAGTCCTATATTGAAAATACAATTCAAAGTATCAAAATTCTTTCAAAATACTAACCAAAATATACTAAGAATAGGGTTAAATATATAATATAAAATTCACTTATGAAAATACCCCAAAACTTAGCTTTTTGCTTGTCCTCAAGCAAAACAAGACTAGAAAACAAAAATAAAAACTAACAAACTTGACACTTAACTAAAACTTAGCTCAAACAAAATTCTCACTTTCAAGTTGCAATCCATAGAAAATGTTAAAAATCAGAACATCTTTTCAAAAGTTCCAACCAATCCCACCACAGTGTCTAAGCCATTTAGAATCAATTAGAAAAGAATTCACAAACTTCCTTTGGTGTAAAGTGAACCAACATAGTTAAAGAGACTCGACCAAAAC